TTCAATTTGAAGTTGCATGTTCCTTGCATATTTCTGTGTGAGAGGCTGAAACCAAGGAAAACAACTATGAAAATTAAAATCCACTTACTCTACGTATTTGGCTGATGCTTAGTCAAATGTCAATGACATTTTGGATAAAAATGTAAATATGACAAAGTTTGTTTTTCAGTCAGTAATTCTTGATAACAGCCTTGAATTGTTACCAACCCAAAAAAGTTTTTTAATTTTAGGTTAGGGTCGACAAACTTTTTCTGTAAAGGAACAGTTAGTACATATTTTTAAGCTCTGTAGGACACATATGGTTTCTGTTGCATAGTCCTTGTTTTATGTTTTAATAATCATTTAGAAATGTTACCAAGCATTCTTTGCTTGTCAATGGGCACAAAAACTACAGGCCACATTTGGCCCCAGGGCCATTCTTTGCCAACCCCTGATTTTAGGAAAAGTGAATCCAAGAAAAAAATGCAACGTTACAGAATAAAATATCTAAAAGTGCTCTGATGAGACCAGGCGGCAACAATTAACCAGCATACTGCTATTAACATGATTTCATTAGCTATTTTGCACGTGGAAGGAATTTTAATGACAGGATGCACTTTGATCTCCCAACCTGTAACTAGGGACACAAAAGAAACAGGCAAAAGAGGGCTATCATATGCAGAGTTATCCCAGGAGAAATCCTCACAGAAAAGTTTAAGTGCAAAACCTAATTCCTCCCCAGGAAAGGTGGCGACTTGGATTTATTGAGACGATCAGACTGACAGACTGATCAGAAATAGCAGCAGTGAGAAGTCACGCAGACTTGAATTAGGGGCTTCATGAGAAGTTCTGCTACAACCAGCTGTGTGATCTTAACACTGTCAATTCAACCTTAGCTTTCCTACTTACAAAATTGGGGCAGGGCTAGAAAGTCGATAATCTCCAACTCTTCTACTGTCAAACTACGACCATACTAAATAATGAAACCACTCAGGAAATACCCTGACAGGAAGAGCGGGGGAGGGGTGGGGAGAGACAGCAAAGGAATGACGCTCATACTGTCCAATTAAAGGACAGGGCTGGGTTTTCTCTTTAGACCACCTTGCTCAGTATAGGCCATTCCAAGGTGTCGGTATGGCCTCCTATCAATTGTAAACTGCACCACGTCCCACAGGAAATATAATGCATAAGTATTACTGTTTCCTAGTTGTCTTAACATCACATCTTACAGACATTTAAAACATTAATTATGATTATGCAGGAGGCTTGGGGGAGCTCATCGAAAAACTTTTTTCAGGGGCACCTGGGTGGCTCAGTTGGTTGAGCTTCTGCCTTAGGCTCAGATCATGATCCCAGGACCCTGGGATCCAGCCCTGCATCAGTCTCCCTGCTCAGTGGGGAGTCAGCTTCTCCCTCTCCCTCTGCCCCTCCCACCACTACCCCCCACGCCCACCCCACTAGTGCTCTCTCTCACTCTGCTGTCTCTCTCAAATAGATAAATAAATCTTAACAGAAAAAAGAAACAGAAAAACTTCTTTCAGTTCTCAAACCTCTGAACTGGAAGGCTGGTTGGTCGTAGGCACTGGGCCTATAATTTCAAATGGATATACCCTCCCAACTCAGTAGTTAATGAGTATTATCCCACTGATACACTGAAAGATTCGCAATGGGTCAGGTGAAAGACAATGCACCTTCCACCACCTCCAAAAGCAGAAAGGAAATGAGGAGAGCTGGGATCTCAGAGAAGGTAGCAGAACCTTAAAGAAGTGAGAAGAAAGTACTTGTGGGAGAGCCATTACCTGTAATCAAAATGACTGTCTCCTTCCTTTCATGATGGCCTAACCACTATCAAAGACCATCTAAAGATGGCAGATGCCTTTTTAAACAATGACTTGAACTTTGACAAAGCAATATTAAAACTAAACACGTATCTGCATGGGAAGACACAAGCACACATGCATATCTACCAAATCACACACACACAAACCTCAGGTGTTAAGAAATGGCTTTTTCCTGTGATGTTGACCTTATCAAGTTTAGTCAGCAAGGCTGTGGCAGACCCTGTCAAAACCCAGTCAGAAAAGCCCAGAACTTATACACCTAGGTATCTCAAAAAATAATTATGACTGGGAGGAGATGGACCACCAACTCTTACCTCAACACTTCAGATGACCCGTGGATGCGGGAGAGGGGGGCAGGGAGTGGATATTGCTGCTAAAGATGTGGACACTCCATGCCTACGTGTGTGGTTAGTGAAGAATGTGTGGAACTTTTTTCATGAGTATGGTGTTAATATTCACCTTCTTTTCCCAGCTTAATTTCAAATGCAAAGCATTAGGTTTCAGGTAAAAAAAATTTTCTGCTGTTTGAAGACAGTGTGATACCACTTCCTGTCAGGCTCTGTGGCTCAATAAGAGGCATGGATTTCCCCTCCTCCATGTCAACTGAAAACGCAGCTCATAGCCTCTTTTAACCACATCCACCTCACAGAAAATATGAAGACCAAGATCACATTTGAGACTCATTCCGACTAATGTCTGCCTTCTGTTCAACAGTTTCAGGACACTGGTTTTCCTGCCTTCATAGCTGCAACCCTTTACAGAACCAATTTCAATTAAAAAAAAAAAATCCACACAAAAAAGATTCTAAGCCAACCGCAAGAAAAGTATATTTTTTTAAATTTTATTTATTTATTTGACAGAGAGAGATCACAAGTAGGCAGAGAGGCAGGCAGAGAGAGAGAGAGAGGGAAGCCGGCCCCCTGCTGAGCAGCGAGCCCAATGCAGGACTCGATCCCAGAACTCTGGGACCATGACCTGAGCCGAAGGCAGAGGCCCAACCCACTGAGCCACCCAGGTGCCCCAAGAAAAGTAATTGTTAAAAGTTACTATCACAAAAGGAAGCAGATACCCTTATAGGAAATATGGGACAAAAATTAAGGCCAAAAAAAGGGGGGGGGCCAATAAAGCTATTTCAAATGACTGAAAGTCAACCAAGGAGCTTAACAGAAACCGCATCATTGAGACTCACTCACTTTTGACACAGAAGAATGCTTCTGGGAGGGTCATACACGGAGAGAATGGACAAAAGGCTACCTACCCACTCAACTTGTTAGAAATTGTCCTTTGCCATCTGGACTACCCTATGCATTCAACAATGTAAAAGGTTTATTCGGGGTTTTGAAATTAGTACCAGCATCCAAAACTAACGTCCTTTAGTTGCTGTGACAGCTCCCACCAAATCTCTTAGGAATATACTTGAGACATGACATTTAAAATCTGCTTCCTCAGAAAAGAAAAAGTCCCACTCAAGAATGACTGCCAAGAACTTGCAACTCAAACTTCCCTAAGCCCAGACAGCATAACACCGGGGAGGTTTCAGAGCACTCAATCCGTAAGAAAGAGGCCAGAACAAACAAACCAACCATAGACTTCCCTAGTTCTCAATTTTAAGAGCGCTCCATACCCAAATATTTTTTTTAAATGGTAAATTATCCTTAAAACACACAGTATTCAAATACAATTGTTACCATAGCACCATAATAATCCCAGAAATTCACAGTGAAATATGCTATAAGAACCATGTGAAAGGTGCTTAAGTGAGCTACTATTAGAAACTACAAACATCACCCAGACAACTGAAAGATAAAATTCTTACGGTATTTAATTAACTGCAGCTATTTAACAAAGGAAATGATGTTAAGGTCACTTGCATTGGCAGTTTAAAACCAGCCTTGATTTGCTCTTCAGTTTATGTTAAGTTACTTATCTCCTTACCTGAACACAAAGTCAGCCAGGACAGAAGTAGAAAGGACAGCTCCCCGCCAAGATCAGGTAAAACGATTAATCAATTCAAAGTAATTGGGGGGTACACTGTTATGTTGTGATTCATTCAGCAAGCAATAATTAAAACCAAGGCAAAATGCATAGGGAGTCTGGCAGAATGTAAGATCAATTCCTCTGCTGAGAAGTTATTGAACATTCAAGCCCAAGAATTTACAAAGTTGACAAGTGTTGCTTCTCAGGAGATGGTAGTAAAGGAGTGAACCATATTTTCCTGATCACACCATTCCCAAGAGTCGCCAATTATCTTAAAACCAGTTAATGCTCACAGAACACTTTACACTCTGTAGACATTATTCCACCATTAGTCACGTTTTGATCTTTTTCCTGCACTTGAGCCAAAGGAAAGGGAGAGAGAAAATGGTAACCAGGGTTCCCAGTTACTGGAGAAAGTCCGGTGCCCCACGTTTTCCAATTCCTCTCCCTTTCCCATTTTCTCTGTCTTCTCTGCTTAACCTCTGGACTGTATATTCTGCTTCTCCTTTTCCTTTCTATCTCACACCCAGTTTTCCTTTACTTTCTCCACCACCTGTCCTCGCTCTGACCTCTGATCCTCCGAACTCTTCTCCCCATCCTGCAATATTTGTTCTGCACCCCTCCATGACAAGAGATCCAGACCGCTTGTGGCCAGTGCCCCTCATCCCTCACTTCCTGATAGCTCATTTCTCTCAATTCCCTTCCGATTGTTGGGTTCTCGCCTCTTGTCCCTTGTGTCCTCTGTTCTTTTACTTCACGTCCCTCCCATTTCTCCCGAAGCTTCATTTCCCCCTTCGCATTTCCTTCCTCTTTCCTGTCTTTTAATCCATTTCACACCCACTATCCCCTTCTCTTTCTCTATGAGATTTCGTGTCTCCCGCCCCCCCACTTTGTCCCGCTAAGACCCTTCCCTGTCACTCCCCCAACCCTCTCACTTCCCCCAATACCCCTAGTCCTTGTTGCTCTGGTTCCCCTTCCCCTTCCTTTGCCCCCAAGTTCCCTCTTCACCGCCCCCCCAACCTCACGTCCCCGCCCGCCCCTCTCCCTCACTCCTTCACTCTCTCCTACTGCCCTCGCCACCCTGCCGTCCCCAGAGTCCCCTCCCTGGGGCTCCCAAGCTCTCCTCCAGCCCTCTCCCCGACCCGCTTGCACCCGCCCCCCATATCTCTCACTCCCCGTCCCCGGCCGCGGCCCCTCCCTCACCGATGGTGGAGATGAAGGTGGTGTTAAAGGCGTCCTCGGAGAAGCGGAATAGGAGGCAAGTCTTGCCTACCCCCGAGTCGCCGATCAGCAGCAGCTTGAACAGATAATCGTACGTCTTCGCCATCTTCTCGCTCCGGCCCTCTGACCCGGGAGCGAGAGAAGCCGCGGAGAGAGGCGGGGAGGGGGCCGCGGACGAGGGGGCGTGTCCGCCTCGCCACCGCCACTCGCCCCGCCCTGCGACCCGCCCCTTCCCTTGAAGAAGGCCTGCGCGCCCCGCCCCGCGCGGCCAATCGGCTGGGGCTTCGTCATCATCGCCCGCGTCCCGGGGTTAGATGGGACTTGTAGTTCCTTGGAGGATCCTCGGGCGTGCCCGGCGCCGGCTGTCCGAGCAGCCCCAGGGGATAAAAGAAGATCCGCTGGGTGCTGGGGGAGTGGGTGATTAGACGTTTCCACCCCGGCCGGGAAGGAAGTCTCGATTTCGAACTCTGCGTGTCGTGCCGCCGGAACTCAACTTCACGGTTTCTTTGTGTGTGGGCGCCTTTCAATTCCAGACCTCTGAATCCGAGTCCCAGGACTACCGCATCTCTTCCGCCCAGACCCGGAGCAGAGATGCTTTCTTTGCTTCACGCGGCTGTGGCGCAGCCTGTGGATTATCTGCAGGGTGCGTTATCTGGCTTCGCCTGAAGTTCCTGCCCGGCACCACCTCTGTGCCCCCTTCCTCAGCCCCTCAGTTACAGATCTCGAAAAGAATGAGTGCCGTTCTAACTTGAATCCCAGTCATGTTCTCTTCACGCCATACAGACCAGAGGCAAATACGATTGGTATTTTAGAGGATCTGCTATGCAGACCACTCCCCTCCCCGCAACAGGACGGTGGATAAAAATCTGGGATTTTTAAATATTAAGGCTTGCGCTACAGGTCTGTGTCCTATAAAGTGGCAAGCATTATGTGAGGCAGGAACTATGACTGTGGGAATCTAAAGAATAAGATCTGGATTTTGGTTCAGCGGCTTAACTGCTCCCTCTCTGCGACCCAGTTTTCTCATCTGTAAAATGGGTATAAAGCAAGCTATTTCCTAAGGCTGTAGAGAAAATGAAATGAGATACTTAATATGAAAGCACTTCGAAATCCATAGGCATTGTAGAAATGTTAGTGGTGATGGTTACCTTCTTAAACCCTCTGGAGGCTCTCAATGGATGACAATGGGGGGGGTGTGCATTCTGTTATACTCACTTTACTCCTTTATTTACTGGTTTAGACTATTTTTTGTTTTGTGGATATAGTGGTCAGCCCTCTTCATTTGCTAGTGACAGAAACCCATCCAGATCAAGTTCTCTTAGAAGGGAGGTTTCCTGGTTCAAGTAAAGCCAAAGGGCAAGGAATGGCTATACAGGTCTAGAACCAGAAGCTCTATCCAGTCATGGCTCTCTCATCTCTTCTCCCTTCTCAGTTTTAATTTTTAATATGCAAAATATTGATTGATAAGACCCACATGAACAAAAGCTCTTCAGGGTCCTCAATAATTTTTAAGAGGACAAAGGGGTCCTGAAGTCAAAATATTTGAGAACCACTGGCCTAGGCATTTACCTTAGATCTAAGTAAAAACTTTCTGAAAGGTTGGAGGAGGGTATTAAGGGAGGCAGTGGACTCAACCATTAGTGGAATAAGGAAAAAACTTGGGACAGTTAGTTAAACAAGACAAGCTTTCTGAAACACATCTTGAGTGACTTGTGACTTCATGTATGGTGCCAGTGATATTCCATTCTTGGTCTTGTTGTGGCAGAATATTCAGTTGGTCTTAGTACTGGCCTTCACCTTTTATGTGGAAAGAAGATGAAATGTGTGATTTACTCACACTTATTGATAACACAGTACCCAGAGAGTTGCTGCTAATCTAATATCTAATTCCTAAAGCCCACAGATGGGAACAAAGCTCCTAAGGAAGTCAATGTCATTTTCTGTCCCCTCAAGAGAAGGGCCCCTTCCTCTGCCTCTTTGCCCCAGCCAATTCTTGGACAAGTCTGTGAATTTGGCCTCAACTGGGGCTGAACAACCATGAACAGTTCAGTTCTATACCTTCACCTTCATTCTGGAAAAGAAGGGAGAAAAAATTTTCCAAGACCAGTGAAATGTTTCTTTTATAAAATGTGTATTGGGGCACCTGGGTGGCTCAGTGTTAGGTTAAAGCCTCTGCCTTCGGCTCAGCGTCCTGGGATCAAGCCCTGCATCAGGCTCTCTGCTCAGAAGGGAGCCTGCTTCTCCCTCTCTCTCTCTGCCTGCCTCTCTGCCTACCTGTGATCTCTGTCTGTCAAAAAAAAAAAATTTTTTTTAAATGTGTATTGATTAAAATAAATTTCAGTCCTACTATCTGTATGCAACTGTTGGCATTCGTTTTTGGAATGAGTAAGAACACACTGATGTGGTACAGAACTTAAGTTCAGAAAGAAGTTAGTTAGGAATTTTAAAGTCCCTAAATTTCCTTAGGGGAATTTTGTTAATTGATGGGAATTTAAAAAAAAAAAAAAAAAAACCAACTCTGTCTTATTTTCACTTCCCTGGTTTTTCTTTGCTACCAAGTGTAATATAACTTTGGGACTTTCTAGGTGGTAAGTCTGTGCATCACAGTTGAACCATTTAAGAATTTTGATATATGGACACTATTTCAAAAAGAATCCAAATTTTTCCCCTTATGCATTATTTTTATATTTATACAACAATGTTCTTAGAATACAGATTTGGTGGTAGTAACAATACTACTAAGTCAAGGTACTTTGCTCAAAGGGTTGGACAATAAGTATATCTGTAGAGCTGAGGGTATCACATGGAACAGGTTGCTGGTTGCCACCTTCCTTTCTTTCTCCAAATGGCATCGGAGGACCCCCTTTCTAAAAATCCGTGCTACTATGCTCTGAGGAAACCACATCAATATTTTTTGCCAGTTGCCCAAACCCATCTTTGAAATGCTACATCACTGCAGAGCACTAGGAAGACTAACACATTCCATCTGATTCTGTAAATGATTACTGTAAAAGGTTAACGTGGGTATAGCAGCTTGACTTACAGAAATCTGGATGTCCAAGGAGCTCACCCTCTGTGGTTTTTGTCAGGCCAGCATGCTTTCTTCCTGCTTTTGGAAAGCTCCTCCTTTCCCTCTGATGGCTGTGAATCATGGTACTTCACTCCTCCAGCCAAAGAGATGGACATAAGACCAGGCTGGCTCAATCTGAGTTCTTCCTGTGAATCTTCTAATGAGGTGGGGTAAAGATGCTGAAAGGAGGTCTGAATGGTAGGAGGTCTGTGTGAGTTTCAGACTGGTTTTGATCAGAGATTTAGTTCATTTTCCTGTTTTTTCTCTCCTTGCCCTCCTCGGCACGTTTATTCTGTCCTTGAGCTGGCTTGCCTTTGCCCATGTTGCACAATGCCAAGGGATTATTCACTTCTTACAGTTTATTCATTTGGGGATCAAAGACAGCCCCCCCTCAAGAATCTATACATATTCTTGAGGGTTGGTGTGTTCTCTAGGAAAATTTTCAAATTAATTCAAGCATTCTTCAACTGTTTTAAATTGCTCTATAAAACTTGCATGTAAGGAAAGTTACCTTTCTTAACTGCTTACATGAAATTAAATTTGGCTGAGACCCCTACTTGTCAAGGGCTGGCAAAACTGGTATCTATCATTACTGGGGCTTTTCCTCCTCTTAACTGCACCGTATAAGAATCAGGAGCTTACATGGTCCTGAAAAATTAGGGGCAAAGCAGCTTCTGGTCATCAGCCTGCACCCGTCAGCGTTGACACTTTTGTCTAAATACTCTTGCATTCTGGTCCTCTGCCATCTGTTGAGCACAGCTGCCCCGGTGGGCTACAAAGATGTCCTTTATGGTGATTATTTTCACTGACTGATGACTCAGCCATCGAATAAGTTCTCTGTTATCCAATAGTTTGTGTACTTCTTTGTCTTCTCCCTTAAAACTTGAGCTCTTTGAGGGAAAGGACATTGCTAATTTCTCACTGTGCCCCCAGAATGCCTAGCATGATGCCTTAATTGAGCAGGTACTCAATTAAGTTGTCAAATAAATGAATAAACATCTGACTATCATGCCAGTTTTCTAATTTTTTAACTAGCTGGGACACCTTTAGTTTATTATTCGCTGTAAGACCTAGGTATTTTTGACCTCACAAATACCTTTCTGGTTGTATGCTATATTGTATTAATGTTATTCATTCTGTAAGTATACTATTCATTGTTGTGTTTAAGAGGTCAGTGTGATTATATCTTATTTCTCTAGCTTGTCAAGATCATATTGAATGATAATCCCTCAAAAATACCTTATCACCTGTGTGTTATCCAAAAACATCCTATTTGTTTAGTGATATTCCAGTGGGATAACTCTATAATTATCTTCATCAGAGAGGGACAAACTGTACTCTTCCCACCCACTGATCTTTCCTGAGTAATCACAGGATGAATAATGTCCACTCAAACAAATATCCATTAAGCTCACTATGAAACCAGCTCAGCAAGGCCACTTGGAAAATACTAAGTGATCTATCATGTGGTTCCTGCCCTCAGTTTGCTTCCTAGTTAATTGAGAGGAGAATCCACAAGTGAAAAGTTCAGGTATTTGGTTGTATACACTTCATTTATCCAGATGGGTCAAGTATTCATTCTGATTGGTTGGCTTTTAATTCAGACTGGTCAGGCATCCATTTTGATTGGTTGGGTGTCCATTTTTATTATTTGGGCATACATTCTGATTGGTCAGGCTTCCAACCTGATTGATCAAATGCTCATGCCAAATTGATTATTAAATATTTTGCGTATCATGACTAGATGCAAAAGTTAGATAAAAATGATATAATACCAAAAATTGCTGCCTGAAAGTACAGTATCTGCTTGATTAACACATTTCAACAAACCTAGCCTCTTAGAACAGAGTCAGTAGGTATATAACAGAGGTGTAGGGGGGATGAGTTAATGAACATGACTGAATGGGAGGCCATATTCTAAGGGCATAGGCCTTAGAATATGGGCGAGGACCATGGCCATGCCCAGATGAAAGCAAAACTCTTTCTTGAGTGTCAGGAGTGAATACCTAATCATCTAGAATGCAGAGGAAGCCACCAGAGTTGCTACAATTCTGAGTGGCTCCATTTCTGGGTAGGGTCCAGCCGACAGAAAGGGG